TGATAGATTTGTCTCAGAAGACGAAGTCGGGAAAGAAGGTAGAGAAAAAGGAAGGTTAGGAGAGATGAAGGGTTAAGGTGAATTCAAAGCATGAAATAAAAGGGTTTTAAAACTTTTGTGTCTAAAAAAATATACCCAGTCGTGTTGCACGAACGGAATTCACAAAGAAGTACCAAAGCTACGGATGCGAAAAGTTTCTTTCTATATTGATAATCATGGAGGGAAACACATCTCAAATACTAATGTCAGCTTCGAAATAAAATATTTGGCTTCGAAACCAATTTTTGGCGCCAAAATGAAATGAAAAACGGCTTCGAATGTCGAAAGCTTACTTCGGAGCACATTCCATGCCTCACGGTGAAAGTGTGTTTAGATATTTGTTTACTTCAAAAGGATTAAGAACCTGTTTTATGGTTTCTTAGTGAGAGTAAATCCTTCGAAGCAAAACTTGAAATCCCTCAAAGTTAGGAATGGTTTGTTCTAAGTTCCAAACCAATAGTTGGTTTGATAATATACAGAAGAGATTGCTCTTTTATAATAAAACAATGCAGTCCTTAAAGGAGGCTTCCATATTTCTGAAAGTATGAATTGTTGTTCGAAGCAAAATTGGTCAATTTAAGACTGATTGATCGTACTAACCATATGTTGGATATGATTAAAGCAAGCTTTAAGGGGCAAGATTGTCGAATTCAAGGCTCTGATTCTGAAAGGAGACTTCCATATGGTGAGAGTAGTCAAATTGATTTTCAAATATTTCATTGAGAGTCAAGTTTCGAAGAGAAAATTGATGATCTCGAAGCCACAATTTTGTTAGTTCTGGGTAAAATTAGACCCAAATAACAAAACAAAATCTCTCCGCTTTATTAAAATAAGTATGATTACATCAGAGGTCTTGCTTAGGCACATATTCAAGCTCATAAAAGTAAGGAACAAAGTAAATGACAAGGTCATGGAATTTGGTCCAGCTATGGTCAATAAACTACTGTTCCTTTTTTATTTTATCTTCTATTTTCTCTAGGCTTGGTTGCTGAAGTTGGTGTGCTCTTACTTGACAAAAGAGCTTTTCAGCCTTTATTTCAAACTCTATTTCTTTTAACCCTTGTTCCATCTCATCCACATCCAAGTCATCCCAGTACGCAGAGTTTTTATTCTTGAAGTCATCATATTCTTCGATGAGGTTCTATGCTTCATACTGGGTATGAACTCGAAGGGCTGAAAGTTGGTTCAAAGACTGGATGGTGGCCATATAAGTTTGGTGCCAATGACGAAGCAATGGGAGTTGGTCCAAAAACATCTGGAGCTCTACTTGGGCGATGGGGTTGAGAACATGACCTCGGGTCATAACATCACTGCCCCATCGAAAGTTCTTGAGAGGAACATCATCCTCAAGAACGTTGAAGGGCAAGTGAGAAAAGGCCGCAAGCAGAAGTTGGGCTTGCTTTCGCTGAGTTGGAGTAGGGAGAGGTGGAGGATTATAGGGGGGAAAACCTGGTCGTCAAAGAGGGCAAGCCTCAGTTTCTCTATCCAGTGGGGATTTTGCTGAAGAGAAGGTATATAAGTTTCCATCTCGAAAGAAAGAGGGAACTGGGGGGTGTTAACACAATCAAGCCAGTCAGAAGAGCAAGGCTTTGTCTTCTAGGCTAAGAATGATGGGCTATACCCTTGTGCTTCTTCTGGACGTTGGGTAGCTTGTACTATCTTCGTAGGCATAGAGAATGTGTACCATGCTATGAGCAGATTGTCCTCCAAACTACGGCGGCTGTCAATGGATACATATGGATAAACCACTGAGCTCCGAGCAGAAGGAGGAAAAATTAGAGGGTCGACAAATTCGACAAAATGATGATTAACTCGCTCCCTTAACTCCGATTCTTCAGGTTCGGGCTAGCATCTCCAACTAGAAGCTGCAGAGGGAGAAGAAGCTGCAGTCTCATCCCATGCAGAAGGTTTTGGGTTAGAAAAAGAGCTCCCAATATCCATATTTGCAAAATTTTGGGTTAAAGAATCGTGGATCACAGGTTCGTAATCCAAAGATTGATAATTTGCAAAAGCTTCGATGACTTGAATATAGGAAGGTGGGTAAAGGTAGCCAATAAATGCATAAAGGTTCTTTCGAGGAAGAACAGTATCATCGAACAACTCTTCGTATGCTTGATCAACGTAAGAGAAGATTGGCTTAGCCATCAAAGATGTATCAGTCTTTTCGAATACTGGAATAAGTGGGATGCTCAAAGGATTAAAGGAGAATTTAATGCAGATGATGAATGACGGTTGCATTTCTAGAAAATGCAAAGCCCATGCACGTTCTAAAACGTGAATAAAATACCTTGATCCACTAACATCACCAAGTATTGGGTGTATTAGTGTGAGGGGTAATGTTGGCTACATATTTTGTATAAAGCCAATCACAGTTCAACACGTGGCAGGTTGAGGATAATACGGGAAGACAATTCAAACCTTCGATCGTGAATGTACACGTGGCAGTTAGTATTGGTTTTCATAAGATCTACGTAGTACTGGATCAGCAAAGAGATGCAAAGTGATGTAGCTTCAACGGTTACTCACATTTAAATTCAAAATCATGAGGGAAGCCTAGCTGTAGGTATTGGCATAGTGGAGCTAACTATAAGGCAACATGATCAGCGATCATGGAGGAGTGATTCGACGATTAGAAGTGCAGTTCGATGGTTATCCTTGAGAAGTATAAATAACAGAGAAGGCCCCAGGAAAAGCCCAGACTCAGATCCAGAAAATTAGTTTTATCAACTTTATTTCCTTTCCAATTTTTACATTTCCTGTTCTTTACATTTCTGTACTTTAAAATTCCTGCACTGCACTTCGTTCATAGGAGGAGTTTCAAGTAGATTGTTGCTGTAAATCTCTACGAGGCTGAATTGGATCATTGTAAGTCTTTCATTTTTACTTAATGAAATGCTGCAATTGTTCTTCATTTAATCATTGTCAGTTAATTCTCCTAAACAAAGCCACCAGTAAAAGTTCTCTTCATTGAGGCTGAAAGAACTAAAATACAATCGTCTAATAATTGGTTGGCAATTAATATTCTGTAATGACTAATTGATCTTTACTGGCACGCTCACAATTACAAAAGTAACTTTCGAAAGCCAAAAAAGCCAACAGATCTGCATAGCAAAGTTTTCTAAGCTGGTGGAAGTTACCCTTTTGCAAAGTCAGCACTCGTACATAATGTCACTAGTGCTAGTGCAAATTGTACAAATGATCACACCTGTCACTACACTTACGTGTTACACTTGCACCTAACGCGTGTTGTACTTAAATCAAGCATCTTTTGCAACAGCATGAGTAGAGATATGAGATCATGAGGGGAAATGATGGGGGTTAGGGTTTGCTATAGTGGTAGGAGAGCCATGGAAAGAGGTGGAGGCGGTGGAAATGAAAAGAGAGAGGGACTATGGGTGGTTGGGAGGAATGTGAGAGGCACCGAGAATTGGCGTTAATAATGGGAGAGGTAAAGGAGAGCATTATGGGACTATTTTGAGAAGATGGTTATAATTAGCTTTTTAGTTAAAAACTGATTATAATCAACTTTTTGAGAGAGGGAAGTGGGTTATAATATAGGAAGTGGATTATAATCCACTTCCCAAAAGACCCCATAGTTGGAGATCAAAATTGCAAATTAAGAAAAAGTTGAGTGGGAGGGATTACTTGGTCATTTCAAAGAAGATTTCACTTATTTGTAATTATTTTTCTCTCGTCGCCTCTCTTATAATTTAAAAAGATTTCTCACTAATTTATAACTATTTGTTTAGTTGACACCTATTTGTAATTTCCCAAAGAAAAAAAAGGGTGTCATGCAAATGTTTACATAAAACAAGATTAACCATGGTAAAATTGTTTGAATGAAGTTGGATGTAGCATAACAGCTTGTAGATAATGGACTGTGATTTGTGATGTTTTAGTATGCATGTTAATAAGGACATACATTAAGTTGTCCACTTGATTAGAATGCCATACCTTTCATCCCCTTATTTCAAAAGGTCAAACCAAATCACAACTGAGAGGTGTGAAATATCATTTATCTCTAAATTTCTTTGTATTCTTATCTTAACATACTCACAATTATTAAAAATTATTAAAATCTTAAAGTGTGATAATTTTAAAACATGATCCAATAAATATAAATGTATGAAATTCAGAGCCATAAAAATTTGAGAATCCTATGTTAGTTGAAACTTTGAAAGAGGATATCAAATTCTATGGTAGCGTTTGGTAGAATTTTCTAAATATGATTTGATAAATAGAGTTGTATTTTGAGTTTGTGAGTTTTAGAATTATGATTTGAGTGTGTAAAATTTGTTTTATTATGAGTTTTGAAAAGAATTTTGGAGAGAGTTTTGAATTTTTGAAATTAGAAAATTTATTTGATTAAAAAACTTACAACTCATAATCAAACACACAACCTAAAATTCTATTCAAAACTCATATAAAAATTTAAGAAATTTCGAAAATATTTTTTATTTACAATATAAAAATAACAGGTGTGAAAAAAAAAATGAACACTCACTACAAAAAAAAAAATTAAGGTTTTTGAGACTAAAATTTAAGGACAAAATTATTTTTTAGGGACTAAATAATTTTGTTGCGAAAAGTGTCGTCATTATATTTTTAGCAATAAAAATTGAACATTAGTGATGAATTATTATTCTTTTGGGACCAAATTTTTTGTCTAAAAAAATAAACAATTTTGAAACTAAATTATTTTATCCCTAAAAGTCTATTTTCTAGCCTGGAAAGGCGTTTTCAAAAACAGGTGTGGAATTATAATTTGAAAATTCAAAACAAATATCACACTCAAATCAATGGATGAAAATGTGTTTAGAACACCTAACCAAACACCGCATACATTTCTAAATTCTCCTTTCTCATCTTAAAATACTCATCAATGTTGTATTGTATTTGTATCCTGAGCTATTATCACATCATTAATAGGTAAAAGTATTTTAGGATAAAAACTAAAAATATCTGAGAACAAATGATCCTTGATCGAGAGAGATGAAAACATAAACAGTACTATATTTACTTTTTCTTTTCCCCATTTACATAAAGAGTCCCTAAAGGTGGTATATTTAATGGATCACCTGTTAGATTGGAAAAAAAATATTAAAATTAACAAAAATAATATAGGAATAACTCCAAGCTCAACGAAGCAGAAACCCAATTCACCCCTGAAAAATAAAAGTAAAAAAAAAAACACATTTTCAACCCATTTACCTTAATACCCTTTTAGGGACATCTGGGATTTCTTCCGGGTCCTCCATAGTAAAAGTAATTGCCCCAAACCCGACTAATCCCACCTCTTATATCATAGCAGTTTGGGTGATCTGCCAAGACTCGAAAGTTCGACAATGGAATCAAATTGTTGTCCCAATCCACAACTTGTAGGTTTCGAAAATATGATGCTCTCCCAAACCCTTCTCCAGAGAAATGCCCACTACCCATTTGGGTTGGAGTGTGAAAACCCGAAGGCCTAGTGTTCACAATTTCACCACCAAATTGGACCATGCTTGCATGGCTCCTCAAGTGGGTAAACAAGAATGATGGCCAATACCCAACTAGGGTTCCGGATCCAAATTCTAGCCACCAATTCCCATGCTTCGGATCCTACATATCAACCAAAAGAAAATCATGGGTCATGCTAACATGTGTTTGCCAAGAGAATAATTAATGACGTTTTATTACATATAATAATAATTTTTCAAACTTGATGAATTTTAAGAATTTGGTTAATCAGTATCCCATAGGTATTGGTTAATAAAATTCAAAATGATTGTGCATTTTTAAATATTTTAAGTTTCTTAACGAGTGACACTGATCACATCAATTAATAAATTTCATCTTTTACCTATAAAGATGTTGGGGGCACATTAAAAGATTGGAAAGTAATCACTTTCACATAATTCTCTATAATGTAATTGTCATATATTTGTAAAACTAAATAACATTTTAATGGCCACTTTGTTTTAAAATAATAAGTCCCAATACAACTATATCATCCTAAATACAAATTATGTATATTTTTTTCATTTCTATAAACATCACTCTCCATGATGTAAATAATGTAGTTGGTGGGGTCCAAAATAAGTGTTGACAAAAAATTAAAAAGAGAAATTTTAACAAGCTTTTACAAAAAAAAAATAAAAAAGTGTAGGGCCTACACTGTACATAGAAAAGAAGAGAATCCTAGAAAGTAGAAAAGAATAAGCAAAAGAAAATAGAGGTCAATCTAGATGAGAGATGTGCCAAAGTGTTAGCATTATAGATCAGTGACCATGATGTGAGTTTTTGGTGATGATGTTTCTCAAGCCCCTTTTGGTGTTAAGAACTGGAGGGTTTTGTTGTATAGCACTGCTGTAGTGTGTACACTATGTGGATCAGAACATCTAAAGTTGTAGAGGGTCCACCATCAGCATGTGATTCATCATATGTTTAAAAGCCTTTGGCATCAAAACTTTACAACAAAAGATACCTAAAGTTTGTTATGAAATTTACTCAGAAAGTTGGTATATGATGGATGTGTTGTGAGTCATTTCAATAATTTGATTCAAATAATTAAATTTTAAATAGATTTCTAACTATTATTTTGTCTTCTAAATTTATAACATTGCTAAAACTTTACTAGTGTAGGAAACCTATTAAAATCCTTAAGAGGGAGACTCCCTCTATCATAAATAATCATTCACCCTCTCCCCACACGTACCATATATGAATCAAGTAGATTTAACAGTTTATTAATTAAAATAGTTAGATAAGATTGGTAACTATTCAAGTATGATTTGACTTCATTTCACTATCTGAAGACTTGAATTTAAGGAAAATTACACCTCAGTTATATCTTCTTAAAATAATTACAATACCGTAAAAAAGTTTATCATTTTAATTATTAAAATTTATAAATTTTATCACTCATCTCAAATTTTTTTCCTCCAAATTACATTTGAATTGTTATTTTTCCTTGAATTTATATAATAAAATAAATTTATATATTGTTTGTAGGGCCCACTAATTGTCTAAAATACAAGAGAGATTAAAATACACATCCCTTAAGAGTGTGTACTATGTACTTTATAATTAAAGAAGAAAATTGTATAATTTTATACTTTCTGAGTCATAACTAAAAAAAAAAAAATTATAATCAAATATTACATGAGGTATAACCAATCATCTCAAAATAATGTCATAACTAAAAAAAAAAAAAACTGATTATAACTAAAGAAGAAAATCATGTTACTAAATATGCATATAGTATGAGATGTGTATCGTAGAATTTTCCCTAAAATACATGTCATTTAGGCCAAGTTTGGCATACACAAAATAATCCATCTTTTTATCTTTTTATATTTTTCTCATCACATCACCTCTCTACTTTTCTGCACATCTTTTCGTAAAAACACAAAAAGTACACTTATTTAGATCATCCCAAACAACTCCTTAGGATTTTTGTTTTGCCCACTATAAAGGATCGGTTGAATCTATCTCAAGGTTACGTTGATAGTCAGAACAATTTATCTTGTAAAATACATTGAGCATGGAAAAAAAGAAATTGATTAGTCATCTTTAACTACATGATCAGATTCTAAATATTTCAAAAATAAAATAAAATTGAATAACTTATTAAAATTATATTTGCAATTTATTATTTTATGTATCTGATCATCTGATCACGTATGTGAATTAATTAATTTTTTTCATAAATAACTTATTCAATATATTTTACAAAATAAATAATTAAAATTATTAAAATTGGTCGAAGATGGACCCACCAAAAACTGGCCTAGTGACGTATGACTATCTTCGGACTTAGGTTTGTCTTCTTCCGATTAACTGAAATAACGGTTCTACAGCATAGACAAAGCATCTTACAAACATCTCCAACCCTATACTAGTATTTAAATGATTTTAAAAGAGAATATTTATTTTAACAGTATAATATATGAGCATTAATTTAGAACAAATAAATTAAGATAATTTAAATATAAAGATTAAAATTCTATCTATATGCACAAACTTATTTATTTGTATTGTAATTTTTGTCTTACATTGATGAATTGAAATATTATCAATGGGTTAAAATCCTATATTTTTTAAGTACATGTATTATTTTAGCATAATAAATATTACAGAATGTTGGAGTAACTTAAAATAAATTTTTATAAAGTGCATTTTTATTGTGTTAAAATAGCACAAAATGTATTATATCACTGAAGATACTGTTACTTTTAAATTGAAAATAAATAGTTGGCTCATAGTGCAAATGTTTAGTGAAAATTCAAAAAAACCTCATCAATTTCATAAATTTCTAATTGCAAGTACCTTATGAATCAACTACATGTAACAAAATTAGAAGTTGGAAAATGAAGAATTAAGCTATCAACAAGGCTTTGATTTTTCTTATTAACTTTTTTATCAGATGAGGTCAAGAATTCCCTATCTAAAAAATTCTCTATCTTCTTGTATTAATATATTTATGATTGTTAAGCTATGTCTCAAGATACTCATACTAAAGATTAATATTGTGAGTAAATTGAGACAGAAGAATAAAGAATTTTTGAGATAGAAAATCCACAATAGTCAAATTGGTAAAGCTAGATGGTTTCAAGCCCTAGAACTATTAACTATCTATCTTTAAGTTAGTTTAATTTTAATTGATCAAAAAATAAAAAATAATAAATAAATAAATAAATAAATAAAAACATGATTTCATAAATCATAACTATTAATAGGAGTTCGAAAATACCTTCCAAACCAATAAGCTGATATCAAATTGGCCACCTCTATAGGAGGACCTTGGAGAGATTGCAGCCCCAATTGCAATCCTATTGTTAGTTTGCACAAAGCCAGAGCACAGCAAATTGTAGCACCCCGTTGCTTGATATGCATCTGTCTGTCAATTAATCTACATTTAGTTATTTATTACTATTATTATTATTTATTTATTTTTATTAAGAATCAAGCTTATCTTCACACCAAATTTTGAATTGGCGAGTCTAATTTTTATGGGTGTGGGCACACTTCTGGCTCATTTTAGCAATTTAAACTGTTTAACGTGTAAAGTTCATCAAGAATATCATTCATATAAAAAAAAAAGTTAATTGGATATCTCCAGACAGATGGTCAGTTTATATTTTTGTACAAAAATATACAGTCTATTTTTTAAATCATATATTCTATAAAAAAATTTAAAAGAATGTAATCATATCACGTAGTCACTGATGTCTAATAAATTTAATTTTTTTAATGGATGATCCACTCGAAGGAGAATGCAATTTGAATGGTTCAGATCACTAAAACAGGTCTGAATTGGGTCCATAACAATTGTCTTTCTTTAATTAAATTATTATTAACAAATCATATTAAGCTTAGGGGTAAATTACACTTCTTCTTCTTAAAAATATAGTATTTTCTCACTTTGATTTTTGAAGTTTATTTTTCTTAATTTGATCCATAAACTATATGATCGTTCATAATTTGGCACAAGTGACAATAATTTAAGGACCAAATATTCAAAATGAATAAATCTTAATAGCCAAAGTGAAAAAATGCTACTACTTTTTAAATTTTTTTTATGGGATTTGAACTTCTTCTTCCTTCTTTTTTTTTTTCAAACATTTTTTCAACAGAAATTCAATTTTCTGCTTTTGTACAACTTTTGGCTTTTTAACTTTTTCTTAGCCAAAGCCAAAACTTAAAGCTAGTAGAAAACCCAGAAGCCAAATCGAAATATTATATAAAAAAGATGCATCCAAACAGGGCCAAAGGATCAAGTTATAAAGATTGAAACAAAACTTACTGTCCAATAAGTGAAGAATCTAGGATAGTTGTCCCCATATAGCTCTGGGCTAACCTGTGTAAAATTAATGAATTTTATACCATCTTTGGACTACGTTACAAGCATTCAATAAATTTAGATGGTGGTTGAGATGTAACATTTCAATAAATTCTAGCAACTTTTAATGACATACATTTTCCATTTAACTAAATACAAAACATAATTCTTGCACATGTAATTCATGCATAATCATGTGATATCTTTTTATTTTAAGCCAAAACACTTAATATTAGTGTTTAAAATTATGAAAATACCACTACCGATATGTTGCAAGTCTAAAAATTCTATTTGTGAATTATTTTTTTTTAAATTTTTAGGTTATTGAAATAGTGTTATGATGAAACTACAGTTGTCTATGTCAAAGAAATTGTGTATTTCTTATTTAGTGTAACCATATTAAAAAAAATTATGTCCAATTTTTTTATTTTTTTTTGGCCCAATAAAAAGGGTTGGAAGGGGCAACTAATTGTAGAAAATTTTCTTTGTGTGACCAAAGGAGTCTCCACCCATTGGGGAGCCAAACACTCCCTCAAGACAGTTTTGAGTTATAGTTTAACCTCAATCTTGGTGTGACCAAAAGAGTCTACACCCATTGGGGGGCCAGACACTCCCTCAAGACAGTCTTGAGTCATAGTTTAACCTCAATCTTGGTGTGACCAAAGGAGTTTCCATCCATTGGGGAGTCAGACACTCCCTCAATCTAGACAGTCTTAAGTCATAGTTTAACCTCAATCTTATTGGGATCCTAGAAAAAAGAAACCAAGAGAAGAAATGAATGTGAACAACATCGTCCTCCTAGAGATTCGAACCTAGAGCCACTTGCTTACCAAATCCAGTAAAAGTCAGCTCCACCTTGCTAGCTACAACCCTTAATTGTATTTTTGAACATTTTAATTTCAATCAGATAACCACTAATTCCATGCTTTTCAAGTTCACGTATATTTCCAATAATTAAACTTCAATTATCTTTTTCTATAGTAAAATTTGGAGCACTTGATGTATAATTCTTGTGTTAAAATGAGCAATATAAATAATTAAACATGCCTGCCAACCAGCTTCAATGGTGTTAAGATCGTCTCCAAATGAACCAGAAATGACCCACATCTGTGATAAGCTGAATTCATACTGGTTAGCTACACGCGGCGCCCATACATTTATACTGGCTTTTGCTCCATAATATTGATCTCCACTTACATACCCAACTGCATGCTGCAACTCAAAAACATGAACATGATATCAGTGTTGCTACATACACATCTTCTTCTTCTTCTTCTTCTTCTTCTTCTTTTTTTATTTTAATATTGTGGTGAGCCATTCCCATCATGAGTAAGCAGAGAACATGATCAAAACTAGTACATATATACAATGTCTATATATAACTCAACTTTCAAATTCAACAATGTGTTGCCTTATGATGTTAGACCATTGGACCTATTTAAGCCTTTTTTGTTCGACTTTTCAGCTAGTATTCACTATTTTGGGCATGCTCAAAAAAAAAAAAAAAAAAAAAAAAATTGCAACACATTTGTTTTCTCCATCTGCTTTTTTTTTTTTTTTCTTTTTTCATTCATCAGAAAAAGGACTACTATGGGTTATCTACAATTAGGTTCGTAAGAAAAATTAATGGAATCGAGCTGATTGCTAGAGATTGATCTAAATTTCATAAGTAGAGTTTATTTTGAGAATTTTACAAAAATACTGACGGAACTAACTAAATATTATATTGAATAATTTTTTATATTTTGGTTATTTGAAAATAAATAACCAATGTTAAAACATTTTGCAATAAAATGTTAGGGAGGGTGACAATGAACCCCCAACTCCTTTTTATTCCCAATGCAAAATTTTACAAATTTTTTAAGAACCTTTAAAATCACTCTATAAATCTTTCCTTTACACTAAATTGAGAACTAACAAAAATAAAATCGTAGCTTATGGTCAGTTTTGATTCCTAAACCAACGAAATTGACGAATTTAATTTCGGTGCTGAATTTTCTCTTAAACTTTATCGAACCAAACCAATTATGAACAAATGTTCCTGTACTTTTTTTTATGCTCGACTATTTTTATAGAAATGAGAATTATTATGGTACATTCAGTGAAGACAAGAGCTTTATCTTTGAAGTAATAAGTGAAAGCTAGTCTACTAAACAAGCCATGAAAGTTAGTACTTTCTGAAAACAGAAATCTGGTACACTCACATTTAATGAATGAAGTAAATAATTGCCAATATGTTTTCAAACTCAGGTACCAACTTGGCAAGTAAGGAAAAAAAAAAAAAAAACAAAGTGAAAAGCTATGAGTATTGATACTAGTATAATATGGATATGTTAATACGGTAAAATTTTAAAAAAATAAGGTACATGTATGGTTTGGTACGCTTGTAAAAAAATATTTATTTTTAATTTAGAGTAATGTAAAAATTAATTAAATGGTTTAATTTGTTAAGATCTAACCTATAATTAACATTTAATGTCAAAAGTAAAGATATAAATCAAAATTAAATGTCAATATATTAAATAATTTACAAAACTAAAAATAAAAAAGAAGTCTAGTAACAGGAGTTTTATCTCTGTAGTACGGCTTAGGTATATACTAGGTATGTCTGGGTACGCCAAAAATTAAGAAAAAAAAATTTAAATACGTATTTCGTATATCCAGTTCATATACCAAAATATCATACGAGGTACCATACGCTGGTAAATACCCGATACGAGTACAACATAATTTTCAAAGTACTCATGCTTCATAGGTGAAAAGCAATCCTCACTTGTCATTTTTTCGTCACCCAGTTTAATAAAAATATTCATTATAATATAAATAAATAAATAAATAGATAAAAACAAGAGAAGCTAAACCAAATCAAATTAAGAATTCTTTTTTGGGTGATCTTCAATTCTGCCTCTTGGAAAGAAATTCAGAGTTTTCCTCTGTTTCTGTAGTTCTGTTCTAAGCACCAACTAACCTCACTTGTAATTGTTTCTTTGGGTCAGTTTAATAACAACTGTTCCATTAGAATAAAAATAAAAATAAAAAATCAAACAAATCAAACCAATTTATGATTGTTTGGGGGTGATATTCAGGTCTGCTTCTAGGAAATAAATTTAGGATTTTTCTCTGTTTTTGTAGTTCTGTTTTAAGCACTAACTTCACTTGTCATTTTTTCATTATTCAGTTTAATAATAAATGTATCATTAGAATATAAACAAATAAATAAAAAACAAACCCAATTAACTGTTTTTTGGGGATGATATTCAGGTCTCTTCCACTTGAAAAGAAATCCAGGGTTTTCCTCTGTCTTGGTAGTTCTGTTTTAAGCACCGACTAATTTCACTTGTTATTTTTTTTTTTTCATTGTTCGGTTTAATAACAAACTTTTCATTAGAATATAAATAAATAAACAAAACCAAACTAAACCATATTATTATAATTATATTTTTTTGGGGGTGATACTCAGGTCCCTCTGCCTCTTGAAAAGAAATTCAGGATTTCCTCTGTTTTTGTAGTTCTGTTTTAAGCACTAACTAACTTCACTTGTCATTTCTCATTATTCAGTTCAATAATAAACGTTTCATTAGAATGAAAATAAATATAAAAAAACCAAGCCAAACTAAACCAAGTTAAAATTTTATTTTGGGTGATTTCAGGGCTTGCCTATTGAAAATAAATTCTGGGTTTTACTCTATTTAGTTATGTTTTAAGCAATAACTAACTAACCTCATGGCCATTGCTAGAAGAGTCTCGTCGAATAGGTCTTCGGATTCTCCTTCCAAATCTTCGTATTCTGATTTTCTTTCCGAAACTTTGTATCGACCTAGCTCGTAGAATGTCTTGTTCTGTTGTTCTTCTTATTGGGATTGTTCCTTCGGGACATGATTCACCAGACAAGCTCCACAGCTGAAAATTTTCCGAGGCGGTCTCAGTTGGGTTATGATCTTTTGGCCTCTCTGGTGGATCCTGTGAAATCATAAAAATTTACAAACTTTTGGTACCTCTTAATTTAAACAAGAAATTCAAATAAAATAAAGTGAAATTTAGCTACCAATGGCTTTTGTCCTTTTAATTGAGGATGATCAAATGATGGTTGTAGATGAGATTCAACACAATCTATCAAATCTCCATCAGGACTCTGCATAAACACTCAATAACTTAGAAAAAAGATACACTCAAAAGCAGAGGGAAAAACAGAGCAAAAGCATGACAAAAACAGAGCAAAAACAGGGGAAGAAAAGAAATTCAAGATCTTCACCCAAAAAAAAAAATTTTGAAATAATAATAGTACCTGAATTGTCTTGAGAGAAGGCTTGTTGATCTTTTTTAGATGAGCTCTAATCATCTTCAAGTTCTGTAACTCTTTGTTGGGTTGGAAAGTCTGATTGACTAGGTTATGATTGTCGGATTCGGATGAAAGGACCGGACAAACGGAGGAAAAAAGAAAGAGGAAGAAAACAAAAATGGAAATGATTGGGGAGATCTTGCAATAGTTTGGAACCATGTTTGAAGAATTTGTGTGTTTTCTTGTTTCTTGTAATGTAACTGTCGGAGTTTTTGTACATTGGTTGTGTCTTCTTCTGTGATCAAAATGGGACCAATTCTTATGAGTTTTTGTCCATTCAAGCACACCTCCCACCAAATCCATTACAACACAAAACAAACTATGTGAAGAAACCCAATTCAGTTTCTCACCATTTCCAAAGCTCCTAAACCCTAGAATAATAAAACCCCCCTCTTCTCTCTCTCTCTCTCTCTCTCTCTCTCTCTCTAAGCTTCTAATACCTTGGTTTATGTTCTGACACCTTCAAGCTCTCAGGCATGAGCTAATAATAAAACACCCAAATGGGTTGTGTGTTTTTTAGAGTTTTACCCATGTGGGTATGGAGAAATAAATACTGGTTTGTCATCTAAGACATCCACAGCTTTTAAATGCTTTGAATGCAAATTGAAAGGAGAGGGGACATATATACACATATATAAATGAAAAATAATACTTATATAGAATTTATTACAAGAATAATATGTCATGATATTTTCGTAATGGGTTCTGCTACTAACAAATACAAAATGTCAAAATATTTATAATATCAATACATTTTTCATATATTTCAAAATATTTTTACATATTTTTATACATTTTTCAACACTATCATTTAAATATATATTTATTTTAAAATAATAAGTCATTTTACAACCATTTCTTTATACCTTGGAGGTGTGTTTCTTTTTCTTTTTTTTAGAATATAAAAAAGGGACTGAAATTTCCAGCTTTTTTGTTAATTTTTATAGGGCATAATAGTGGGAGATGAATTTCTGTCATTCTTTTTTCACAAAAAAAAAAAGAGAAAAAAAAAGAATTTCTGTTATTCTTTACTTTGGTTCTGAAGACAGATAGGAATTTACACTTGATTGAGGGTTTCCAAAGTTCTTTGCTTTGGGTATTTCTTTCTCACTTCCCTAGATGTTCTTTGTGTCAGCCTTGCCCCATTTTATTTATTTTTATTTAATACAAAACATATTAATTAATTATTAACAAAGCAAAGCTATCTCACTTTGGATTTCATAAAACTGTTTACATTAAAATATAATTTGGTTTTGGATAACGTAATGTTTTGAAAAATTGGTAAAAAATTAATTTTTTAATTTTTTTAATCTATTTTATCTTTTTATAAATAAAAAACATGAGAAGTAATATGACCTAATGAGTAAAAAACTAAAAAGTAACCCTGTTTTTTCCTTTCCAAAAAACCCCTGTTTGACAAAGGAATGTCAATTGTATAAAGGAAGGGTGGATACTCCCATCTAGTGAGCCACTCGTTAATAATCAAACTTAAATGAGATGTAAATGAATTTTTCTTGCATACCAAACACATACACAAGCACACAACGTTTTTAATCAGTCCCTTTCTCAACATCAATGAGCTAGATTTTGATATGAGTAATGGTATATAAATAAATAAATTTTATTTAATCATTAATTTTTAAGATTTTAAAATTAATCGAAGTGTGTGATAATTGGTCTGAACACTCATTTATCAAAATCAATATATATATTTAATAATGTGACACTAATCATTTTACTAAAATGAATTTTCTTTTTGATTTTAAAATTTTATTATTATATCTCAGCTAGTAAAACAAATTTATGAAATTTTATTAGTTAGTTGTTTCAGGACTTCTAAATAAGTTTTTTTTTTTTTTTTTTTTTTTTTTTTTTTTGCCTTTAGTGACAATTTTTTCCAAAACTAAGTCAAAATTTTTTTCGTATCTGTCTTGCGTAAACAAATCTAACAAGTAAATTTTTTTTAAAAAAAAAAGAAATTAAAACAAGGTAAAAATAACTTTTTAAGCTTATTTTTGTCTTTCTTGGACTTTTTCTTTTTTTTTGAAATTTTTTAAAATAAATTATTTTTTTGGTGTCTTATCGAGTAGAATTTAAAAACTTTAAAAAAATTTCAAAATTAAAAAAAAATACTAAAGAAGAAAATAGGCAAACAAAAAAATAAATCCTAAACATAACAAACGTGTGAATCTTTATGTCACTCATTTTTTTATGTCCAAATTGCCCCCATGGAATTGTACGAATTTTAAATTTTAATTTTTTTTCCTTCATTTTTTTTTTTTTAAATGACGGTGACAGTTGTCTCTATTTTTGCACGCACATTATTTGTGCGCACAACTTCTATTGTATTTCTGGTTCAAAGAAAAAACTTCTATTGTATTTATACTATATTATTGTATAAAGTCAGCACATCTCTTGGCGTGATTGTGACATTTTTTCTTTTAATTTCTCAGAAAAACCCAAAATAAGACAAGAGTTTTTTTTTTTTAATTATAAACATTCTATAAAAAAAAAATTAGAGAATTGATCCACTTTTTAAACTATTTGAGAAACTAACTTACTTTTGAAAATCGCATTTTGAAAATATAATTTTAAATTAAAAATGCAATTAATAATGACATGGACTTTACTAAGATATATTACATTTTCAACATGCGATTTTAAGGTGAAATTGCATGTAAAAAATGCAATTTCAATTTCAAAATCGCATTTTCAAAATACGATTTACAAAAACAAATCAATTTTCCAAATAATTTAAAAAGTGAATCAATTTTCTAAATTATTTTTTTAAAATATTAAAAAAAAAACTCCAAATAAGATAACTACTTTAAATAATTAAATTAGATCCAATTACAAATTATACCTATGTGCCCACCTCCAATAATACATATATGTGCACTTAAATGCTTATGCAAGCATATGTTGCCTTTCTTAAGCATCATTTATTTAGCGGGTTGAATGTGGGCTTTGACTCTCTGAGGAGATATAAAAACCTTAAACATAAATTTGATTGAATTTAAAAATATATATATATATATATATATTTCTCAGATTGTCGGCCAAAATTGAGTCAATGTATGATGGATGTTGCAGTGTCACTAGCATCAGGCATGAGTTTGATTAGTTTGATAATATAATGCTCTACAAAAAATTTCATTAAAATCCATAAACAAAAACTATTTCATTTTTAATATTATTACTTTTTCCTTGGGTTTTGAATGATCCTTAAATGAAGAATAATATTTTGGCATCAATTATAGTTGGCAAATGTTATTCTTGTTGTGTGGGTTTTTTTATTTAATTTTTATTGCAGTTTTAAGTTTTGGACTTGGTTAGGAAACTTCATTAGAATCAACACTTTATTCCCAAAATCTTAGTGGCTTACCATGTCAAATATTCTAAGCAATTAGATGATAGTGTTGGGATATTTACAACCAACAGTGACAACATGACAATGTCTATTGGATAATGACATACAAATTGAAAATTTATATAAACTTTTTTAATAGAATGATGTGATTCATATAAACCTTTTTACTTTAAAATAAAACATTGAAGAACCGCTACATCAATCGTGTATTGTTTCATATATAAAAATTTTATATGAATAAAATTTTCTATGTTGATTAAATGGACAAGTTAAAAAAGTTGGTTCAAAAAATTTGATGATATCATGTCAAAGGTTAGGACTCAAAAAAGCGAGCATAAAACTTGTGCATAGAATGCTCACAATGAGTACGGCTATAGATATTATCATTCGCCTCGGATTGGGCTCCATTTGAAGTTCATTTGAAATATTTTGTCCAATAAAAATTTACTTTAGTGTTTCAAATCAATCACACAAATGTGTTGGGACATTATAGTTACGATAGCCAATAACATTTCCTTTGTTATTTGTGCTTACTACATAACTACCTATTTTGGCTTATAAAACATGGAATTGGCTAGCAAAAGTTGCTAATCTTAATCATTCACACACCGTGTTGTTCCATGTAGATGTCATGTATGTATGTTTGTAATTACATTGTTTTGTTTTGAGACCAATAGCTTTACCAATGTTCCCTAGTTCTCTTTTTAGGGCTTTGGCAATGATGCTTGCCACTTCCCTAGCAATGTCACTTTTGTTTTTCAATTTTTAAATTGCTGCTCCATTCTACTTATTTTTTCCTTCTTCTTTGGGGGTAGTGATTAATTGTACTACTTATTATGAGATGCCTACTCATACCAACCCACCTTTGAAACAAACACAAAAGATAGAAATTATGGAAACAATGGCCCACAAGTTGTCACTCTCTCAACATACCAGTAGGGTTGAGAAAATTAAGAGGATCTCAGTGGAGCCATGCCTCTTATTCTTACCTTTTCTTGGAGAATAAATTTTAACCTAATATATATGACAAATTTATTCACAAAATATGGAATTCAATGTATATAGGCAGATTTATAAAAATTATTCAAACTAGCTCATTTCAGCATGAGCTTAGATGTGAGGTGAGCTAAACAAAACTCCTATATTAATACAAGCTATCACCAAAGGTTACATATATATGAGAAATCGCACAATTCACCATGTTGATTTGATTTTGATCCTTTGGTAAGTTGGTCTCATTTATATCTTTCTGTGTGACCTGGTCGAAAACACTATACATATGACATGTTGGTATTCCAAAGATCGCTAAGTAATTTTTTTTGTGATTAATTCATCCATCTTCAAACTACTGGTAAGGTAATTAAAGTAATGTTGTGTTTGGTTCATTGAAATAGAATTGAATAATTGTTCTAACCTTCTTATGAAATGATTTATTTCTTTACAATGGTAAATACTGATTTCATTTGTAGTATATATATATATATATATCATTTCTTTAGTAGATTTAACCTAAGAATGTATGTTATCCTAATCCAAACAGACCATAAGCCCTCTCAAAAATTGATGGGGGAGGAAAAGCTGTTAAAGCCTTGGTTACTTTGTGAAAGGGACATAACATATAAATATTTGGTAAGAATAAGCTAATATTTATAGTTAAAACACACCACATTACAAAAGTTGAAATCAACATAAAGAAAAAAAAAAACCTAGTCATAAAGAGACACCATAAGCCCTCTCAAAAATTGATGGGGGGAGGAAAAGCTGTTAAAGCCTTGGTTACTTTGTGAAAGGGACATAACAGGGGAGGAAAAGCTGTTAAAGCCTTGGTTACTTTGTGAAAGGGACATAACATATAAATATTTGGTAAGAATAAGCTAATATTTATAGTTAAAACACACCACATTACAAAAGTTGAAATCAACATAAAGAAAAAAAAAAACCTAGTCATAAAGAGACTAGGCCATGCGTGTGTGTTTGATACTGACATACACTATCTATAAATCTAAATAAAAATAAATAAAAAAAATCCCATTAATTTGCACAGACTCATCATTTTGTTATTTGTTTATGCTAGTTAGATGTTTATGTAAAAAGCAATTTTGATGTATGAGATTCTCATCACTGCAAGGTTTGTGGAGGATTACATGTATTTAATTTTATTTCCAAATACAGATAGATTATTTCCATAATTTGAACCCATGAAATTCAAGTCACAATGAAAATCTTACTATT